CAGGAAGCTTCCCCCCCTCTGAAGGACACTTTTCAGTCTTTTCACAAACTCCCAAACCCAAACCCCCAGCAGCTGCCATGGAGTGCGTTCTAGCGCATGGAGACGTGCTGTCGGAGCAGCACTGTGCTCCGCAGGACAGCCAATGGCTATCTTTCAGAAGCAGATTGCCAGCCCTTTCTTCTGAGGTGCCTCTGAATGCCACCAAACCTCCAGTCTTTGAGTTAGCAGCCAAGCCTTAGCCGTGCGCACCACGCAGGCACTAACAAACCTCAGCGAGTACTCACCGTGTGCCAGAAAGCGTCACAGGACACGGCATGCATGCGCTCGTCTTGACCTCAAGGCTCTTACTACACCAGCTCAGAGACGACGTGAAAGCACAAAAACAGTCACCCACGGTAGGAAAGCTGATCTCATCTGGGGCTCAAGGAAGATCCCATTGGATCAGAGACCTGAAGAAGAAGCGAGAGTTGGCCGGGCTTTACTGATTAATTCCTTTTCAGAGGGAGTGGTGTGTGGAAGTCAGCTCCAGTAGAAGAAGCTGCTTTCAGGAAGGTCCAGGGTCTTTGAGGTCCAGGGTGAGGTATTTTGAGAAGTGCAATGGCCTAGCTGAGAAGGGTTAGAGATGGTCAGAAAAGGAGATGGACTGCTGATGTTGGGGGAGGAGACCATGTAGGTCCTGTCCGGTGGGCCAAGTCAGGGTTGCATAGCTCACTCTCACTGTCATTGAGTCAATGCCGACTCAGAGTGACCTACAGGACAGGGGAGAACTGCTCCTGTGGGTGTCCAAGATTGTGACTTTCCCTAGAAGTCAAGCCTCGTCTTTCTCCTGTGGAGTGGCTGCTGGTTTCAAACCACTAGGTGTCAAGCCACCAGGTTTCACATAAGGGAACCAAAACATGATCTAGAAAATTGATGTGGCAAGAGCCATGTTCTCCAACAATTTTATGAAGATGGGCATTATCCGACCGGGCCCCCAACGTTCTGGAGTCACATAGGACAAATTGTGACTCACTAGAGAACTTGTGAAACTTTCACCCTCTCAGTGAAAACACACAGCCAGCAAGGACAATGGCCTCGGGCTACAGGGGGCAAAGAAACAGGTGAGCATGCAGATCAAGATCCATTCTGAGTATGAACTGTTCTTCGTAGGCACATCTGTGCAAATGCTTCAACTATGCGGCTACTCAACTGGTATTGTAACGAAAGTACACATAAACAATATGCAAATAACCAAGCGGAGTTGCAAGCCAATAAAACTTCATTTCGTAAAACAGGAGAAAGGCTAGAGAATGCACCGGGCCTTTGAAGAGATAATCTGTGAACTAGGTAAATGCAAAAAAATGGGCACCTGAAAAGCGCTGGATTTTTTAAACCGGCCACATAGACACAAAATGTTCAGGGCAGCATTATTCACAAAAGCCAACAAGTGGCAACAATCTAAATGCCCACTGACTGATAACTGAGCAAGTAAAAAATACATAGCCAAACAATGGAATATTATTCAGCGCCCCACCCCCAAAGAAGTACTGATACATACTGCAACATGGCTGAACTTTAAAACATGTTATATAAAAACAAGCCAGTCACAAAAGGCCATGTATTTTATAATTCCATTCACATAAAAGGACAGATAGGAAAATGTATAGGTACAGGAAGTAACTTAGTGGTTGCCTGGGGCTGGTGGTGGTGATGGTTGCCCAACTCTGTGAATAAATGAAAAATTATTATACACTTTAAAGGGTAAGATGTAAGATACGTGAATTACACTGCAATAAAACTGTTGAAAGAAAAAAAAAACAACTTCAGGCCAAATGCATCTGCCAGAGTAACTAACTTACAAGGACTGAAGGATGAAATGCCCTCTCCCTTTCCAAACTCTTCCTGCATCCAAAGCAGGGCTGGCAAACCTTTTTTTAAACAGCCAGACAATACATTACTAGCATACCTCAAAGATATTGACCATGGCATAGAAGTTCATTTCACAATCAAGCGAACCACATGGCTTTTTCCCGCGGTACATATAAAAGTTGTTTTCACTGCACTGCAGTCTATTCAAGGATCTGGTGGCACTATGCAATAAGCACTGGGTTGCTAACCTTAACGTAGGCAGTTCAAATTCACCAGCTACTCTGAAGGAGAAAAATGAGGCTGCCTGCTTCAGCAAAGACTTACAGTCTAGGAGACCCAAAGGTACGGCTCACCTCTATCCTATAGGGAGGGCTCACTCTGAGTTGGAATCAAGTCAGTGGCAGTAAGTTTGGTTCGGTTTGGTAGTCTACTATATGGGAACTTGCGTGATGAAAAAAGTTTGAAATATTGTGGAATTAACAAAACACGAGAGTCTTGAAGTAAGCACATGCTGTTGGGAAAACAGTGCTGACACACTTGCTCTGTGTAATGCAATAATGCAACAAAGCAGAACACATGCAAGTGAGGTATGCTTGTACTCAACCACGCAACCACTCCGCTTTGCTGGTGCACTGAACACGCAGAGACAATATGTGAAACGCTGCACTCCAATATGACTGAATATACAAAACCAAGTGGCGAGCTTGGCGATCCTATGAGGAAGGCACAGCAAACAGGCCAGGCCTCTGTGGTGGGAGGGGTTCTGGGAAGCAAAATGGCTTAGTCAGGGGACAACTCATAGCTGGTGTCTGCTGCACCTCCAGTAACCTTGTCCCAAGGAGTCAACAGATTGCCAAAAAGCTAATACAGGGATCTCAACCATCCTTCTCCTTTCTAAAGCCTTCAACAGTATGTCCATTTCTAAAGGGTCACATTCAATCTCCTTACCAATGGAAGCCTTAATCAAGAAGGCTCTGAGTTTGTTAAGCATGCGAAGACCTGGCATGGTCTGAAGCTGTTGTGGAGTAAACTGTCTACATCATACAATGGTTTAAACAAATTAAGAAGAGCTGTGCAATCGTCACCACAATCAGTTTTGGAACATTTTCTTTCTGCTTGTACCCATTCCCCCTACCCTGAAATCTATGGCTCTTCTAACCATGTAATCCAAAGAAGCAGAGTCAGGATTGGAGGAAGGTTTACTAACAACCTACAATATGGAGGTGACACAACCTTGCTTGCTGAAAGAAGATTTGAAGCACTTGCTGATGAAGATCAAGAATTGCAGCCTTCAGTATGAATTACAATTCAATGTAAAAAAAACAAGACAAAAACAAACCCTCACTACTGGAGCAGAGGCAACATCATGACAAATGGAGAAGAGACTGAAGGTGTCAAGGATTCTGTCTTGCTCGGATCCACAATCAATGCTCATGGAAGCATCAGTCAAGAGATCAAATGACAGTCACATTGCATTCGGTAAATTTGCTGCAGAAGACCTCTTTAAAAGTGTCGAAAAGCAAGGTGGTTACTTTGAGGACTAAGGTGTGCCTAACCTAAGCCACAGTATTTTCCAGTCTCTATGCCTGTGAAAGTTGGGCACTGACTAAGGAAGACTGAAGAATCGCTGCATTTGAATCATGGTGTTGGCAAAGAATATTGAAAGAACAAACAGATCTGTCTCAGAAGTGCTGTCAGAATGCTCCTCAGAGGGAAACATGGTGCGGCTTTCTCACACATACTTTGCACCTGCTGTCAGGAGAGACCAGTCCCTGGAGGAGGGCATCATGTGTGGTAAAGTAGAAGGGCAGTGAAAAAGAGGAAGACCCTCAACAAGATAGACTGACACAGTGACTGCAACAATGGGGTCAAACATAAGAACCATGGGGCAGTGTTTTGCTCGGTTGTGCATAGGGTCACTATGAGTTAGAAAAGACTTGATGGCACCTAATGACATCATCATGAAATTATTGGGTGGGATTAGACAAATAGGGCATATGGAACACTCACACTCATACGTTGCGACTTCCCTGGCTATAATGATGGGCCATCTTAGCAGGAGAACAGAGAAACCCCAAGACCACTGGAAGTGGAGCAAGCCTGAGATCTATCTGAAGTGCAAAGGCTGAGACAAGAGACCCTGAGATAGAATAGAGGACCATCGCTGGGACGATGAGAAAGAGCAGCAGGCTGGTTTCCTGATCCATGGATGCCGAGGTCAAAGGACCATGTAGCAAAGAGGCTGAGGACAGGAGAGAAATTTGTTGCTGTGGACCACTTTTTCCTTACTGTTTACTAATTCAGTCACTTTTTCCTTACTGTTTACTAATTCAGTCACTGTATCCTTAGCGTTTACTAATTAAGGCTTAAGTATCCTGTGAACTAAGTAACCTGTGAACCCTTCTAATAAACCCCCCCTTTAGTTGTCAGCACTGTCTGAGTTGTGTGGCCACTGTAATGAATTAGCATAATGAAATGTATAGAAATGGAGGGCTGTGGGAAGAACAATTGGTGTCAGAATAAGCCAGATATAACCACTTCCACAGTTTTCACAGTACCGTATTCATTCCTTCCTTCATAATTTCTCTCATGGTTGAGCACCTACGACCTGCCAGGTACTGTCAAAGGCCCAAATGAGTCAATATGCAATGCAAAGGGAAAGGAGAGGCCAGACTGAGGCCCGCAATACCGGAAAGTAGATGCCCACAACCTGAATCAACTCTAAGCTTCTGCTAAGTCGGTGAACTCTTGGAGCGGATCTTCTTTGAGAATGCTTCCCTGGAATGCCCTTAATCTCTCTTCTTTCCTGACTCATTATGGCCCACCTCCAAGCCCCTCTGCTAGGTCCTGATGGGTAAAAATACGGCTCCCTACAGCATCTAACACCCTTCGCGATGACACAACGTAACAACTGGAGGGTCCCTCAAAGGTCCCTCATAGAGCTGCAACTCAGAGGAAAATACGGTCCTAAAGTAGTCGTGGCTTGCCTCCAAGAGCTTAATATCTGACATACCTAATACCTGACATAGCGTCATCATTCTAACCCCGATTTGTACTCCTGTCACAATGCCAAACTGCGTGTTGGAGGCTCTTTCCAGTGGTGTGCTGCATTGTTCCTGACGGCTTCAACACCCCCTCCTCTTCACACTTACCTATCAATACCCAGCAATATATGCCCTCACCGATGAGGAGGCGCCTCGTTGCGTTCTCAGTTTCTTTGTACATCCCTTTCAACAGGATGTTTTCACCTCTATTTCGTTAGGATATTAGCATTTCCTGGCCCAGTACAGGTTAATAGAAAAATGACACCACTCTTCATTTACTACAGCAAGCTCCGAAGGCTGAGCCACGATGCAAGAACCAGACTCGCAGGCGTTTGAGTGGTGCCTACTTGCCTTTGACCAGAGAAGGCTGGGGCGGGAGGGCACCAGAGGGAGGGGCCTGGAAATCTGGTGCAAAGCACCCAGGAGGTCGATTGCAGGCTCTTATTCTGGGCCCCTTCCCTATGTCGCGTCCTACAGGCAGCAGCCAGCCAGCCTTTGTCCTCTATAGTCCCTCACAGTCAACTCGGTGACCGGGGTGAAGTCCCGACCCGGATCCGAATGTCCTCATTTGAAAACCGGGGTGGCATCAATTTTCCTGCCAAGACTTGAGAAAAGCGGCGCAGACCTCATGTCAATGACTGTCCCCTGCGGTGTGATGCGATGGGGTGCCTGCCCTCGGATTCACTGTCCGGGTCTGCGCCATGGTCTGAGACCCCAGATCACCATGACCTGGCTCCGGCCCAAAGGGAACGTGTCCTGTCCTCACCTGATGGGGGTGCGTAGGCCCTGGTCTGGAGTTGAAGGGTGGGCCCCAACACCGCGGGGCAGATGGGGCTCCCCCGGGGCCGTTTCAGGAGGCAGCCCCCCCAGTCCTGCAAGCGGAGGCAGCTCCGCCACATCACGCCCGAGAAGCTCCGAGGACGCGCGGAGCGAAGCGTGAGCGCTGCACACGTGGCGCGCGC